AAATTTTCACCAATCCATTTATATTTAGAAATTTGGTCAGTGAGTCTAGGAGCTCTTCTCAGCATTTTAAAATTTTTTTTAGAGAGAGATAGAGGGATGCAAAAATGCATACAATTTTGATATTGTTCGGATTTGAAGGCCATGCGGAATCCATGTAACAAGGCACGGGTGAATCTCCAAAGGGTGGTCATCCAACTATGTCAAAATCAACATTTTGGTCACTTAATTCATTAATCTTATCAAGACTTTTATGTTGCTCATATGCTTATCATTGTTATTTAAACTAGTAAGTAAATAGCATTCAAAAGGTTGGGAGACTATTTTTTTTTTCTTGTAACAAGTTAAAACATTTTGGAGGAGAGGGATTTGAACTCAGTTCAATGATTGAGGAGTGTATCATTCAACATGACTTATAACCATTTGATTTAGAAGGTCATGTGTAGTTGGGTGACTATTTTTATTATTAAAAAGTTAAAAATTTCAATTTACATTGAAATTGTAGTATTTATCTTCATTAATAATTCTCATATGAAAACATTTATTGTTTGCAATCTTATTATTGTTAAATGAAATGTGGTGGGAAACAATGATTCACACATCATGGGGTTCATCAATTAATAATGATTACATCTATTACAATCTAGTTTTGTGCTTGATAAGTAACAATTTAATGACTCTAGTAAGAAATGATACATACGAAAATCTTAGGATCTATGGTCCAAAAGAACAACTTTCATCTGAATGTGTTTCGAAGGCAACTTGAAATAAAGGAGCCACAGAGGAAGGATTTGGCCAAAAAAAAAAACAAAAATGGAGATGCGGGGGATCGAACCCCGTGCCTCTCGCATGCAAAGCGAGCGCTCTACCATTTGAGCTACATCCCCGTTGGCCTCTTCTGTGGAAATTAGTAGACTTAATGAATTAAAGATTTAACTCCTATAAACTGCTAGTCTCCACCTTAGGATGCAAAACAATATTTTCCCCACTGCTTCCTCGTTGTCTCGTTGTTCTTTTTCCCGCCATGGAAGCCATGGAAATCGACTCGCAGAAAATTCATCAGAGAAAACAATCTACCTACCTTTCCTTTGTAATTTGTTCTCCTTTCTGTCATTTCTAAATTTTCTGTTTCATCTTGTAGTATCTTGCATTCTGATTGCAGTTTCGCAAAATACTAATGTCCCCCACATTTTTTTTGCCCTTTTCCTTGACAGGATGAGAGCTTTGAGATACAAAAAGAGACATATACCGGTCAGCAGTACAGTCAGATTTACTTTGCTCGTCTCTACAAGATGAGGACTTTACTCTATTCCCTTGTTCCCAATTGGAAACCCCGTTTAACAGGTTCTCTTTTCTTGTTTCTGACTACCCCTTATCTAAGTTTTTGATTAAAAGTTTGTTTTTTTGGCGTTTTTGTTCAAATTGGTTCCTGGGTTTTTTGTGTTTTCAGGTTAATTAGTTTAGGGTCCTTTGTACCCTGGTGCTGGGGTTTTAGGTTTTCTTATGGGCTGCATTGTGAAATAGTTTGTGTTTGTTATACTTTATGTGGGTTTTTTTTGCGGTTCTTTGGTTTCTTTTTCTTTTCCTGGCTTCTTTTTTTGTGAGAGGAAATTTCCCATCTTTAATGACTTCATTTACTAAGGGTCTTATATTAACCAAAAATAAATAAATAAATAAGTTGTGAAAGGGTCTTTAGTTTTAACAGGCATATGTCTAACTATAGTTCAGAAATCTCTCCCTTTTTTTTTTTTTTTAATTGGTTCGGAGCTCGTAATTTGGTCATTTTGATTTTGTTATGGAAGTTTGGGTGACTGGCATATATGCTTAGGTGTTGGATTTACTATTCCATGGCATATGGTTATCATTGATAGTTTGACACTCATTTTTGTTCTGGATTATTCTTTGGATGATTGCATTTTAAAGATTACAATTTGGTCATTTGATTTTGTTATGGAAGTCTTTGAATTTTGGTGCCTGGCTTCTCGCTGTTTATATGTGTTGGATTTACTATTCCTTGACATATTTTTCCATTGATACTCATATTTTGGTCTGGATTATTTGTCTGATGATTGAATTTAAGTTTGGGTTTGTTGTAGAAAGGCTTTTCTTGGTGACAATTTGTGTAGTAAGGAGGATAGAATTTTGATCCCAGATTAGGTTTTGTGTGGCAAAAGATATACCATTTTGGATAAGTAACCAGGCTTGGTTTGCACGAAGTTGTTTACAAAATTATTTCTTGGGTGTGCTATGTTGCAGTTTGTACAGTTTTGGGGCTAGAACAAGGGAAGGAATGTATCATTGTTGGGACCCTTTACAAACACATGAAGCTCAAACCTTGTATTCTAGATGAGTACTCTAAGGAGGTATTGTGATTTCCAATGAATGAGCTATTTCTCCCTTCTTCTTCCCTTTTTTTTTTTTACTTTAAATTTTCTTTTGAAGCTGATGTGAAATTCTAAGTTGTATGAATCTTTGATGATATAAATTATTTTGCATTTTGCAGAGATCTTCTGCCCCGCTGGTAAAAGCTCATAATTTTGTGCATCCAGATGATTGTTTGATTTTGGAAGATGAAAGTGGAAGAGTTAAGCTAGGTGGGACTAAGCTTTCTCCTTTGCTATACGTAACAGGTTTGTATTGCAAACAATTTACTATAGTGAAGAGATTTCCATAATGCGGTCATCATTTATTTTCAGCTATTGCAAATGACTGACTTTTTGTCATAGCAGCTGATAATTAATAAGCATGCAGAACAAAATCACTCTTTAAGTCATTATTAATAAAAGGAAGTTTGAATAGTATTCTGGCCTTTTGGAATATTAGTTTGTAGAGAGCTTAAACCATTGGGCCATCCAATCTCTTGCCCTCAGACATTCTTGATTTTGAACTTACATGATAATATTTGATAGGTGTTGTTGTTGCTTTGCATGGAAGAGAAACCAGCGCTGGTGAATTCTTTGTTGAGGATGTTCTGGAAGCTGGCCTACCACCTCAGATAGAACTTCCCCTTGAATTACGTATTATCTGATTTGTTTCCTAAATTTACATTTTCGGTGCATTCTATATTGCTCTAAATTTTTGTAATTAGCCACCTGTCTATTGGTCATATAGAATGCTTATTTGTAAACTCTGGATGGTGTATTTTTCAAAAGATTTTTGCTGAGTTTGTTCTAGGATACAATTAAATACTTGAACTTGAACAATTCAAGTCAATTTGTAATGGAGTCTAAACTTGAAGTTACTAAAGTTAGACATTGGTAATGAAGAACTTCCTGTAACCTAATACTGGTTTCAATTCTCTAGTTTGGTTTTTTAAGATATTTTATTGGTATTTGAGAAGATAACCTCTATAATATGTTTCTCAAATTGTTTGTCTCCTGCTCTGTATAGCTTGAAATAATTTCCTGTTATCATAGTTTTTTCTTGTGGCATATTTTTTGAAGACTGTTTATTGTCAGATTCTTCCTGCATGCACCATGAGAATAGGTTTGTTATGAAGATAGCAAGAAGAAAGTGCTTTTGTTTTTTACACTTGGAAGGGGAAATTTTCATTTGATTTTGTATGGTTGGACTGTTCACTAAATTAGACTTGAGCTCTGCTCATCTTGTGAACAAAGCTCCTTTTAATTTCAGTAAAACATGGTAAAATAGTGTCTTGCACTTGGCTTATCTGTATCTGTAGCATTGACTCAGAGCATCAACTTTTAATTTTGTGCAGGGGAAGACAAGTATGTAGTTTTTGTGTCAGGGCTGAGTGTTGGGAGCACTGCTTCTAATCCCCTTCAATTTCAGCTTTTTGTTGATCACATAACTGGACATCTGGGAGATGATGAGGTGAGCCAATTTTCATCCAATTTATTCTTCAAGCAATTACCTTTATGGTCTATACCTGGTAAAAATTACCTTTTTGCTTTTATTTTTCTGAGAAATTTTTATACCTTACTTCATACCTTTTAATTATACAGGAACAAAACATTGCAGCACAGATAGTTCATGTTGTCATTGCTGGGAACTCTGTTGAAATTCCACATGGACTTCTTAATGGACAGGTTATTACTCAGATAGTTTTTCTTTTTGGACTATACATGCTATGGTAACAATAAACCCATATGGAAAAAGAAAAATGCATCAAACTCCCTCCATTTTCTGATTATACAATAACTATTTTTCTAATTTGTGTTTTGACTTTGGCTTGTCTCCTCTCTTATTGATATTTTCACAAATAGAATTAAATTCAAGACTTTGCTGCTAAATGCAATATAAGTGATTGTTGTTTTGACTAAGTAGAAAATCATTGATTATTGTATAAAATCTCCAAGGTACTTAGTCGGATTGGAAATCATGATTACTTAATGAGCTGTGTGTGTTTGTGTGTGTTGAAAGAATTTCCTTATTAAAAACTTTGTTATGCCAATCTGAACATAGACTCTTGATGGTTAATTGTTTTTGTTAATGTTTTTTAGCAGAATTTAGCTTCAAAGGATCAGTCAAGTCTGTCTGACCCAATAAAAGAGCTGGATCTCTTGCTTACGCAGGTTTCTTTTATTAGTTTGATTAGTAACTTCAACCTAGCTTCCATGTTCCCCAACTCTTTGTAGCTTGCTTAATAATTTTCTCTATAGATTGCTTCAGGTCTGCCATTGGATATCATGCCGGGATCTAACGATCCTGCAAATTTTTCCTTACCCCAACAGGTTCGCTGTATATGTTGAAGTGGAACTATACTTTATAACTGCATTTGCATCATTTTGACTTGCTTTGAAATCCCCCTTTCAGCCATTGCATAGATGTCTCTTACCTGGTTCAGCAGCTTATAACACTTTTAGGTCCTGTACTAATCCTCACTGCTTTGAGCTTGATAATATCAGGTAGGCCATGTAAATTACTGCCTAGAAGTTCCCAGCTGGATTAGACACTAAGAATGCCATCTCTTGAGTTTTCAGGTTTCTTGGAACATCAGGTCAGAATATAGATGATCTTGCAAAGTATTCAGAGGGAAAAGATTCACTTGATTTTATGGAAAGGACATTGAGGTGGGCGCACGTAGCACCAACCACACCTAATACTCTTGGTAAAAGTTATATAAGTTCTTTCTTAAGGATTGTTCCTTGTAGCTTAAAAGTTAAGTAGCTAACATGTTTCAGGTTTTGAATCATGATTCATGAGCCAAACATCAAATAAATGAATATTGTGTTGTGATTCAAGAATTGAGTTTTTCTTAATTTTTATTTTGTCCTAATTATTTGCTTTTCTGATTATATTCTAGTTATGATTATGCTGTTAATTTTTGATATATTTGCCAGAGAAGCAGATGATACATCTATGTCCTTCTCAAGAGCTTACGTATGAATTTTTTCTACTGTTATTGTTGTCCCAGGGTGTTATCCTTTCAGTGATAGGGATCCTTTCGTGATTGAGAGCTGTCCCCATGTTTACTTTGTCGGTAATCAGGAGAAATATGAAACTCGCCTGTTGAAGGGTAATTTATAAGGAACTTGCACTTATTAAATGAAGCTTACTTTTTCAAGCAAAAAGGAAAATGAGTAAAAAAAAAAAAAATTCATAAGTTCTTGTGAGATTCAGCTTACTGTTAATTAATGCAGGATCAAATGGGCAGTTGGTAAGGCTTATTTGCATACCTAAATTTTGCCAGACAGGAGTAGCCGTTGTGGTAAGCCTCGTTTTAGTTTGGTTATGCAATGGTTAGCTGCTGATTAAAATGTGGTATTTTTCAATATATTTTATCTTTCCTTATATTGCAGCTCAACATGAGAAATCTCGAGTGTCACACGCTCACTTTTGGGACTCAGTTCAGCTGATAATCAATTGGAGTTGTAATGTCAATTGAAGTCATCGGTCGTAATATCAATTGCTGTTCAACTTTCTATTTTCTCAGAGAATTTTAATTTCAGGTTTGAGAACATCAGCAGCTACCATCCTCCTCCGAAAATGTCCTGAAGCCAAAGTGGATGATAGGAACCATGGATGAAGCTAATGTTGAAGTTGGCGAGAACTTTATATTTTCTAGTGTACTGACATTCTTAGGATTACCCTCCAAATAGTATTGAAATTGTGTTATGCTGTATTCTTACATAAACAAGCAGTGCTTTCTCACCTTAATTCTTACATAAACTGTGTTAGGATTACCCTCCAAAAAGTATTGAACCCATGTGACTCGAATTTACACTCATTTTTAATTGCGTATCAAATTATTGTTTGTTGGTTATTCAATTTTTGGACTCTGAAAATCAAGCTTTGCTTGGATAACCAAAGAAAGTTTTCTAATGGCTATTCTTGGATCATAACCCTATTATATTATAGATCTAGGTAATCAGTCTTGACCAACCATTATCAAATTGGATAAAAAAGTAGGTAAGGTAGTGCAGTACCCTGTTGCCTTTCACCTAATCATGATTACTCTACTTACTAATCACAAATTTTACAATATTTTTTTAAAATGAAATAGTTTCAATATCATTTAGTTTATAAATTTATATATGATATGTTATTATATAATTAATTTTTTTATTTAAAAATTTACTTATAATATTTTTTCATATATATTCTCTCATTTAATGACTTGCCACATTTGTTTAATGACAACTCATAATTAAAAAACCATGACTTATTATATTAACTATAGTATTGTCCCTTTAGATTTGGTAAAAAAACCATGATATCACCAATGCCCATGGTTGAAGTGGCATTAGAATCAAATTCCAAGCTGGAAATTTTTATCTTTTCCGTTTTTGTAAACTGGAAAATTTTGGATCAAACTGTCTTCTGCTGAATCACATGCCATGTCTTCATCTTACCCAAAGTGAGCTGCAGCTATGATTAGGAGAAAACATGTATTTTTCCCTTCCAACGGCTATTTTTGGCCGCCCAAATTATTATTCAAATAATTCACTCACTCCAACGGTCCTTTTCCTACCCAATTAACATAATCACTAATTCTCCCCATTTATTTATATAATCTCACAAAAACCTCCTCTATTCCTCTCTAAATCAAATCCTTCAATTGCAATGGACGCTCCAACTCCTGCTGTTGATTCTAATGTCAATCCGAACCCCATTAACGTTCAACATGTTAACAAGAAATCCTCCGATGAGCTGCTCCGGAAGTTCGCCGAACTGGAAGAGGAGGCTGAGGCAAGAGCAAAGGAGTTAAAGTTACAGAAACAAAGGAAGAGAAATGCCAGAAGGGGTAGTGGACAGGGAAGCGAGAGCCCGTCAAATAATGGCGGTGGTGGGTTAGTGGAAAGGAAGCGGCTTCTCCCTCCGGCGACACTGCCGCGGAGATCGACATTGCTTAGGCAACTTGGGATTGGGAGGTCGCAGCTGATTAGAGCTAGGGAGATCAGAAACAGGTCTCTCTTGGGTGCCATTGAAAAGGTATAAAAAAACATGGGTTTTGAAAAAGTTTTGGTTTTCCTTTTCTTTTCTTTTTTAAACTTTAATAAAATTGATACCGATCATTTTATTCAACTAATTTTATGGGCACTTATAAATCATTTTGTATGGTTTTCTTTAATATATTGATTCTTACATTTTCTAGTGTTAATTTGATCCAGACATGGCGGAGGACTATGGAAGGAGCTTCAAGGGTTTTCATGGAGAAGCATTACAACAGGCACAGGCGTCTGATTAGTGATGTTGTCTAATTAGTGCAGCAGTGTGTTTTAGGTCAGTGAAATGAGGGGAAATTCGTTTTTGTAAATTTTTAGGGATCTATTTAGATCAATTATATCTGCAATTTAGATTCATTTTGTTATCTGCAAGAAATAAATTAAGGTGGTTGCTATGGGAAATTCATCCTTTTTTTTTTTTTTTTAATTTTTTTTTTTTTTAAAGTTTTTTTTAGGTTCAATTTGCCCATTTAATTTGTTCCACCCATTTATTTTTTTAAATATTTTTATGAAACTCTTTTTTTATGTTATTTTATTAATGATATTTAATAATTTTAATGTCTAAACTATACTTTTTATTGTCTTAGTTAGATCTAAAAAATATTAATTTTTTTTTTAAATCTCACTTTAAATTCTTTCTTCATAATTTAAGCTTGCAATGGCAATAACATGTTAGAGTGCAGTAGGAGTATTTTTGTATCGTCCGGAGAATAGTTGAGAAAGAAATTTCCTATGATAGGATTGCAATAATTAATTTTATAATTTAATTATGAAAATAATTACTCATCGTCTGATACAATCCAAAACCAATAAGTAACAATTCATAATTAATTCTTCTAAACAAACTGAATCGTCTCAAGTTCATCTCTGGACATTGAAAGACAAAAACAGGGAAATGGAATCAAAATGAGGAAACAAAAGGAAATTTCAAAAAAAAGGGAAAAAAAAGAAGGGGGTAAAACAGCATGAAGCCTTTTCTTTAGTCTAGATCTCTGGATCCATCTTTCTCTTCGCCATTTAGAAGCATTTCCTGTGGACAATTGATGGCCCCGATTCATCATACTCTGCCTTTGCAATCCACATCTGCATTCAAGAAAGAAGATGGTTCCAGTCAAAATTTTGTTTAGATAAATCTGACTGTAATCAAGACAAGATTCTTGGGGCTCTCTAAATGACAGTCCAAATGTAGAAACGATGGTACCTGTTGGAAGGTGCTGAGGGATGCCAAAATGGAGCCTCCAATCCAGACACTGTACTTTCTTTCTGGTGGTGCTACCACCTTAATCTTCATGCTACTTGGAGCTAATGCTGAAATTTCCTTGCTCATCCTGTCAGCAATACCTGGGAACATGGTGGAACCACCACTGAGAACAATATTGCCATAAAGATCCTTCCTAATATCCACATCACACTTCATGATGGAGTTGTATGTAGTTTCGTGAATGCCAGCAGCTTCCATCCCAATCATGGATGGTTGGAAGAGGACTTCGGGACAGCGGAATCGTTCAGCTCCAATTGTGATAACCTGGCCATCTGGCAGTTCATAACTTTTCTCCACAGATGAGCTGGTCTTTGCTGTCTCAAGCTCTTGTTCATAGTCAAGAGCAATGTAGGCTAGTTTCTCCTTCATGTCCCTCACAATTTCGCGCTCAGCAGTGGTGGTGAAAGAGTAACCACGTTCGGTTAAGATCTTCATAAGGGCGTCTGTGAGATCGCGTCCTGCCAAGTCAAGACGCAGAATGGCATGTGGGAGGGCATAGCCTTCATAGATTGGTACTGTGTGGCTCACACCATCTCCGGAGTCCAGAACAATACCTAAATAATAGCAATGAGAATGCTAATTTATGCACTGTCCAAAAAAGTTAGATAAGAGCAGCTACATAAATAACCAACTGCTTTAGATTTTTTTTTTTAGTATTAACTTTTCAGTATCCGGTAACCACATTGAATTCTAACTAATCTGGAATCGAGTCGCGTTGAATCCCATTCAAGAGAAGTTCTTCCAATGCTTATTTCTCCATTCACAAGACTCAAACTCGAGATCTATTTAAAAGGAAATGAACTCCTTTTATTCGGATCAACAAGTCGTTAATAACTGCCTTATTTAAGATGGTAGATAAATGACCAACAAATATGGTGGTAAGTGGAGTGCCTAGGTTGTCCAACGAAGACCTAGTGACGGGCAGGTAACGCTCATTAATATACCTTAAGATCTAGCCTTCAATATCATGTTGTAGAGCTCCCTTTTTGTCCTAAATCTTACAATCATTTGATGGTTACAATCCATCTATCACAGTTAACAAAATATATGTAGCATAACAAGTGCTTACCAGTTGTACGACCACTAGCATATAGGGAAAGGACGGCCTGGATCGCTACATACATAGCAGGGGTGTTGAAAGTCTCGAACATAATTTGGGTCATTTTTTCACGATTGGCCTTGGGATTGAGAGGAGCTTCTGTGAGAAGAACTGGATGTTCTTCTGGGGCCACACGGAGCTCATTGTAGAAGGTATGATGCCAGATTTTCTCCATGTCATCCCAATTATTTACAATACCATGCTCAATTGGGTATTTCAAAGTTAAAATACCTCTCTTTGACTGGGCCTCATCACCTACATAAGCATCTTTCTGGCCCATGCCAACCATCACTCCAGTGTGCCTAGGGCGGCCAACAATGCTAGGGAACACGGCCCTCGGAGCATCATCTCCAGCGAATCCAGCCTGAAAGTTTTGAAATCAATTAGCATCTAAATTTCCAAAATTGTAAGTTGCCACTGACAACTTAATAGATGCCATTTGAGATGATTACCTTAACCATTCCAGTACCATTGTCACAAACGAGGGGCTGAATATCCTCACCATCTGCCATTTTCTATTGCCTGTTGCATATGATTAAAAATGAATTAATGATGACAACAAAACAACAGAAATGCCATTCCTGTTAGATAATCAATAGTCACATATGAAAATGCTCTCACAAGCATTGGATGCGCTCTAATGCCCCAAACTATTTCTATCTGTAGTAAAACTGAAGAAGATGATAATTAATACCACTATCGATTGACTTGAAGCCTGTAATACAGGATCTTTAGTCATCTAAGAAATCACAATTAGGGGGTAATCCCGCCATGAATGCCTCCAAACATTTCTAAAGTTGAAAGCTAGAATAATGCAATAAGCATTTCCTATCAAGATACCACTGTAAGCTAGTTAGTTGGTAAGAATTTTTGTAGTGATTTTGTTTAAATGAAGTAGAATATGCAGATCAGAACCAGATTTAGCATGACAATCCTCTAAAATGATAAGATAGAAAGTTCTAAATTCTGATACATGATAAACCATCAAAATTGAAATCAAATGTAGAACTATACAGATAAATGAGTCAATCACCATCCAGAGAACGATTGTCAAATCAATCAATTAAAATGCAAACAGGTTCTGTTCATTAAGAATTGGTGTTACAATCTAAGGATAAAATCCTAGAAATTCCAACCAGAAATCAGATTATAATAAAAGTTACCAAATACGAGGACACTCTATGCAGCATCAGAGATAATGCAGCATATTTACCAATAATCAAACAGATTATGAGGTCATTTTCTTTATAAAATCCCAGAAATTCCAATCAGAAATCAGATTATAATAAAAGTTACCAAATACAAGCACACTCCATGCAGGATCAGAGATAATGCAGCATATTTACCAGTAATCAAACACGTTAGGAGGTCATTTTCTTTACAAAATGAGGTAACAACTCAAACATAAGATTTATGCATCAAAATCTGATCCTAGCAATCACAAAGAGAAACAAATGAGATAAATTAGCGACATTAAGAACAGAAATGTAGATTCATAATAGCTAGAAACTTCTCTTTTGAAGAAAAAGAGAAATTATCCTCAAGTTTCTCGATGCCTCATCAAAATTGTTTACAGATGAGATAAACCAATAATGCAGCAGAATTGCCGATAATCACACACAAGATCAGGTCCCATTCTTAATAAAATTGAGCAAAAAACACAAAAATAAGATCTAAGAATCAAAATCTGATCCAGCAAAAAACAATTTGACGCCTCACTGTGCCATAAATCTGTGCGAAATGAGAAGAAATGGTACAGCGTTGATTCAAACAGCTCGAAACTCCTCCAGAGAGGAAAACCAGTCTACGGATCAAATCCGATCAGCGAAAAACTTAGGGAAGAATATGTTGTTTAAAAAAAAAAAAAAAAGAATTCGATGGATCAAAGTGGCAGAAATCAGTGCGAACTGAGATGAACAGATACTGATCGGAACAACAATGTCGATTCAAACAACTAGAAACTCCTTCGGTATCAAAACTACGATCCTCCAAATGGAAAAAGCGATTCGATGCCTCAATGTAGCAGAAATCAGGCAGATGAAGATCGGAACAACAATGTCGATTAAAAGAGCTAGAAACTCCTCCGGCGAGGAAAACCAATCCACGCATCAAAAATCGGATCCACGAAGAAGGAAAAAGCGATTCGATGCCTCAATGTAGCAGAAAATCAGTGCGAAATGAGATAATTACAGACGAAAAGATCGGAAACAACAATGTCGATCCAAACAGCAAGAAAATTCTCAAGAAAATCAAAATTCAATTTCAAGAAACGAAGAATTACCTTCGAATTTCTGAGTGTTTTCTCTTCGTTTCTCTCTGGACGGACTGTGTGAGGATCGGAGGAGTCTCTGTGCGCTGTTAAGGTACCCGCCCTCTCGTTTTAAAAGGGGAAGGTGGTTTAAATGAAACTCGGCCTCAAATGAAATTCAACTTAAATGAATTCTAAATTTGATTTCCGGAGATCGTGGCCGTCCGTTTGGGACTGGTCATCTACGGCCCATTTTACTCGTCAAGTTAGTGGTGGAAATAGCTCCCTCGCTTTCATTTTAGGACGCTTCTGCCCTTCCCCTTTTGTGATTTAGCAGTTAAGTCCCCCACACATCCAAATAACTATTTATTTAGTATAAATAAATATTTTTCACCCAAAGGTGTCTCAACTGAACATAATAATACTCAATTCACCTATTTAAAAATGGTTTATAAGTAAAGACTTTTTACTTATAAATTCATTTGATTCAACTTATTTAACTCGCGATTTATATAGATGAAATCATAATTTATAAAATCGTAAAATAAATGAATTATAAGTTGCTTATTTAACTTCCAAAACCCATTTTACTCAACCTATCTAATCAATGACCCTTAATGAACAAACTTTAATCTAATTCAACTCATTCATTTGTTAATTTAGTGTCATTTAATAAGTTCGTGATTTTATATTAAATATTTTAAATTTAATTCTTGAGACAGAAAGTTCTTATCGTATATAATTCACTACTGGGGACAAAAATGTAGAAAATTTTGCAAGTGAGCTTTTAAAAGTCGAGGGCTACACTAAAGGGTGGCAAATGTGAAACTGGTTTTCATGGATGGGCAAATTAATCATCAACGGGGCCCTACTAAGTTAAAAGAAAATTGTAATTACGATGCCCTTTTTGGTCACTTTATTTTAGTGTAGTTGGACTAATTATAGATAGAAGGGGATGATTGAAAAAGTGACAGTTTGGTTTGCCAACTCAGCATTCGGTTTCCAACCGTTATGGAGGTCATGTGATGCGAAACCGTTCTGGTTCACCTGCGGTCAGTTCCACTTACACTTGTCTGATCTACCCGTGTTCTGGTCCGTTAAACCCAGTCAACGTTGACCAGAAGAAACGGTCAACTGTTTTAACGAAATTCGTGGCGCTTGATCGTAATTGATGTGCATGACGTGCCATGAGTCCATATGATAGCGTATAATCAGAGGGTTCGAGTC